ACACACACACACACACACACACACACACACACACGGTCTGTCAGTCTCTCCAGAACCATCTCGTCTCCCCTGTGAGGACTGAGCCTGTGAGCATGTGTGTTCTCTGAGGCCCCCTTGTCCTTCCTCCACATCTCTCTGTTGCTGGGTCGTGTGTTCCAGCCACTCCGATCTCCACAGTTCGTGTGTGCAAGCATCATTTCCTGCTTGTTGGGACAGGCAGCCCTGCCGTGGGCCTTGAGGCGGTGGCCACTGAGGGATGCTGCCCTTGTGCACGGGTGGCTCTCGTTGCTTATCTCTGTGCCTGGGGGTCTCTCTGTCTTTTCAGGGTGAATTTCGGTCATTTAGCCAAAAGGCTCCTGCAGGTATTCCAGGAGAAGTGCGTGCAGAAGTACCAGACATCTCTAGTCACACACGGCAAGTGGATGAGGTAACAGTCGGACCCTCCCCACTGAGCTGAGCTCGTGGACCCCCAGAGCCCTTCTGAGCCTGGCCCTTCAGGCTTGCAGAGCCCTAACTGAGGGGAGGTGGGAGTAAAGGCACAAAGACCAGAACATGAGGGGTTTTTTTGTGCACCTGGGTGATTTCTGTACGTTAGCTTATTTAATCCCACAACATCTACCCTATGCAGTACACACGATCACCCCACTTCACAGATGAGGAAACTGAGGCTTAGGGCACAGGTCTCATTCTCAATACCACACAGCTAGTAAGTAGCAAAGACTAGTCTGTGGGTATGACTGCCTGGAAACTCTGGCTTCTTTCCATGTTTCCAGGTGGTTGTGTTGGGAAGCCCCCTCTCTGGGGAGAAGTGGGATGCGGCCCTTGAATAGAACCCTCTCAGACGGCCCCCTGTAGGAGTTCTGGGTTTTCCCTTCTCGGATGAGTCCCTCCCTCCTTCCCCTGCCTGTGGGAATACCGGCCCCTCCTGAGAAGAGAGGGCAGGTTCCCAGGCCTGTATGACCTGTGGGCTTGTTATGGGGCTGACACCCATCCTCACATTAGAACACAGCTCCTCCTCCACCCCCCCACCCCACCCCACCCCAAATTCTGATTTAATTGGTCTGAGGTCAGGCTTGCAAGTCAGCACTTTAAAAGCGCCTCCAGGTAATTGTAATGTGTAGGCAGGGGTGAGAATCAACCACTGGTTTATCTGTCCTTGGGTTGGTTTCCTTTTCGTGCAGTGAGGAAAATGGTCCTGCCCACTCCCTCCACTTAGAGAAAAAGAGAATTCGTAGAAGAGTCCTGACCTTGATTTGCTCTGGAAATGGGGCCATTCCCGTAGTAAGTGCCCTGGGGTGGACTTCCTCTGTCTGGAGCCTGACCTGGCCCCGAGCTCGTCCTCACTGGCATGTGTGGTGGGCGCAGGCACATGTGGTTGTGCACTCCCGCCGTGGTTCTGCTCGGACCCTCAACAGTCTCGGTCAGAAGTGCCCTCTGTGAGAGGTGAGGGCACACCTGGCAAGAGGCAGTGAGGGGGGCAGATGCCAGGACCCATCATCTCCATCCTCCGCTGTCTGGAAAGCCTCTCCCTGTGTCTGTGTGGTGACCCGAAGGGTGGCTGGATGGGCCCCTGTCAGAACGAGCAAACCCAGCTTTGATTTCTTACCTGCTCTCTCCAGGGAGGTGCACGAGACCAGGATCCACTTGCGTATGGTCAGCTGTTCTGTGGCTGCCTTTAACACAGAAGCCCAGGGAGCCCAGGAGAGCCTCAGCAAGGTGCGAGATCTTCAGGGGGCACCGGGGCTGGGGGCTGCCGAGAGGAAGCCAGGTCAATCCGGCACTCTGGGGCCACAGGGCCATTCCCCTGCCTTTGGGCAGGGCTGCCTTCAACCAAGCCCAAGCACTTTGTGGGGTTGGAGGTCTCTAACATACAAATGTGCCCTGAGGTGGGGACAGAGGGAAGGGAAGGCACTTCCTGGTGATCTGAGACTGAAGGTCACTGCACAGCTTCCAGAACTCTGGGACATCTTCCTCGGGTCCCGTGGAGCCGGGAAGTCTCCAGGCTACTCCTGAGAGAGGCCACGTGAACTCTCTGTGGTCTTTTAGTCTGCTCTCTGGGAAGAGACCCCCACACAGGCAGCTCTGGGAAGGCTGCTTCTCTGGTCCCCAGCCTGTGGCACCTGTAGCCAGCCTCATCCCTTCAGAGGCTGGCTGGGCTGCCCTGCCCCTTCTCTGGAGCTCCTGGCTTGGGCTGGGCCATGGCGTTGTAGGCTGGACCCAGAGGAGAACTGGACAGTCTGGACCGTTAAATCCAAGCACAGTCAAGGGAGGGTGGCTGTGTCAGGTGTGCTCCCAGGGTGGGAAGCAGGAGCTTGTGGGAAAGGCTTGGGCATTCTGGGTGCCCCAGGGATGCAGGCTGGGAGCCATTTTGTCACCCTTTTCTTACCCTTACTCACACCTCCCTTACAAAGAAACACACCTGCTGGCCCCGCCTCCTGACTAAAGCGTGGCTTTCCCTTCAGATCCTTGACCAGTTATCTCACCAGCTCCTTCAGGACAGAACAATGGGGGCTCAGGTCTCAGCACCCCCCACAGCTCCCCACCCCAGCTCTGCACTGACAGACCTGGTTCTGCAGTAAGTGCTGGAGAAAAGAGGGGAAGTGTGTGTGGAAGGGAATAGCGGGGGAGGGGGAGGGTGCAGAGGTGAGAGCCCAAGGGGTTCTGCCTCAGGCCTGGGAGGCAGGAATCAAGAGAGTCTGGGTGGCAGGCTTCCTGGGGAAGGGGTCAGGCGGGCAGCTGGGCCTCAGCCACAGCCGCCTCTCTTGCCTCTGCCTTGGACAGCATGCAGGAGCTCTGCGAGGAGGTGAAGCTGCTGGCCTTCGACCTTCAGGACAACAACCGCATCATTGAAGGGTAAGGAGCTCCCACTGTGTGTGGAGACGGGCGGCTCCTCAAGCCACCCTTGGGTCCCTGTGCCTGCCCATGCAGGTTTGATGACAGGTGTCCCTTTTCCAGTCACGTCGGAGCTTTGGCCTTGTCCTTAGGTGGGTCGCCATCTTTGTGAGGTGTAGGCTTTCACTAGAGTCTTGAGGACGTGAGCCTCAATAAAGTCAGACAGGGGGACTCGGAAGCACGTGGGTTTGTGGCCACATCCTGCTCCCTGAGAATGTGGACTCTGCCTGATGCCTGCCCCAGACCGAGCCCTTCAGCCTCTGCAACCATCCATAGAGTCCTGCTGTCCATGTCCCACACCAGGAAACCGCAGCACAGAACGTGGGTTAACTGCCCGAGGCCTTTCTCCGGCCCTGTTGGGCTCTGTCTTTGTGCACATGTTCCCAGGGCTGCCAGGCTGCGGGCCCAGCCTCAGAGACTCTGGATCACCTCATGTTAGGGTCCCCTCCCCAGGGTGGGGGGCAAGGTGAACCACAGGGGGTGCAGCAGGGCTCAGACTTTTGGATTTTTTGCACCAGTGACATTCGCAAAAGAGAGCTGGGGAATAACAGACTGACCAACTTCTCACATATCCAAGTAAGCGCATTTGAAAGGGAAAAAGCCCTGCCCTCTAGTAGTCCTGCTTGTATAAAGCACATTTTTAATACCAAGGAGAAGGGGGGACCTAATCTCAGCAACGAGGATGGTCCTTGCCCTGAAGGTCAGAGTGCCTGTTTACATACATACACACTTGTGCATGCGCGCGCACACCCCACACCCTTCCCATCAGCCTAGTCTGTCGCTTCCCCACGGGACAACTGGGGCGCAGTGGAAAGAATCTGCAGAAATTCCAACAGGACCTGACTCCTGGCTGCTCTGTACAAAGTGCATGAACCTGGGAGATTTGTCCTGCTTTCAGCTTCGGTTCCCTCCCCTGTGAAATAGGAATGAATGGTGCCCCTCCCTGGGGTTGGCCTAAGCAGGATGAGAGACACCATGTGCTGGGGAGGAGGGGCACAGAGGAAAGGGCTCACTAAATGGCAAGTGTTGGGCGCTGGGGAGCCAGGAGCAGAACTTGCGGTTTTCCTGACTTTCAGGGTCCTTGGGCTGAGGAGGGAGCTCCTCCCTGACCCATCCCAGCAAGGGGAGAATCCATCCTCTTAAACCCTTGCAAGGAGGTGGGGGGGGGGGGCGGAATTCTTTCCCAAGCAGCCCTCGTGGGCAGGAAGTTCCAATTTTAGTGCTGACATAAATTTTTCTTGCTGTGATATGGAGTTTATTTACAGATAACTCAAAACTTTAGTGAATTTTCACTTCCTTATGCAGAGCTGTAGCCAAAGAGCCTACAGAAACAACTTGAATTCCTCTCCCCACCTCAGCTGCTCCTGACCTTTGGCCACACTGGATTCACCAGGGGGGCTTTGAAGAGAGTGGCTCCCAGGTCTTGCCTCCAGAGACTCTGGTGCCGCAGGAGGCTGGGGATTTTATAAACTCCCCAGGGGATTCTAAAGTGTAGTCAGGGATGAGGACCAGAGTTGGGGGTCAAAGACACGACGAGGGGACAGCTCAGGATAAAATGGCTGGGTGTTCCTGAAAGTTGAGTGTGTTGGGTCCCGGGTTACGGGCTGCAGGCTTCTCTGCCTAGGTGGGGGAAGCTAACTGGTAGCTTTCCTTACAGGTTAAGTAGGCCCCCGTCGGCCCCTGACTCCTGAGGTCCGAGCTCCATGGGGTGCACGACATCCTGAAGCATTAGAATCATTCAAAGCCCGCTCTCCTGCCTGCAGTGCGGGACCGAACACAGGATGATGTCTGGTCCTATCTCATCAGCCTACCTCTCTCCCGGCCAACAGCTGGGAGATGTCACCAGCATTACCTTCCACTGCCTCTCTGCCGGAAGCAGCAACGTAGGACCTGGGGTGCCAGGCCATCTCCGACAGGCCACACTGCCTGGGCTGAACTTTGTGTCTCTCTCACACAGGCTCAGGTACGGCTCCTCCGTCTCCCGGGCCTGTGTGGCTAAAGCTGGCAGGCCGCCTGGGGGGAGAAGAGACTCAGATCACTCCCATCGATCTGCCCACCCACCTCTTCTGGTTTACGGGGCTTCACTTCTCAGGGAACAGAAGAGAAGGCCTCCAGGGGTTCCCCTAGGATGCTAGGTCAAGCGACCTAATTTCAGTCTTCCTTCCTCTTAAGGGGTTTCCCAGGGAACATACAACCCTCCCCTCTCCTACGATTTCTGGGGCTCCCCACCCTCAGCCCCAGGCATTCCAGAGCCTGATTTTGCCTCTACTCTTGGTCTGGCAGAGCCTGGCAGGGTTGAGAGAATGGGTGGTAAGGCCAGGTGCTAGGTCCCCGGGGACCCTTGCCCCCCTCATTCTGCCCGAGGCACTGCCGGGCTCTGGGAGACGCAGCCAGCCACTGTCAACAGTGAGCACAGGCCCGTAAGCCCAGTGCCCAAAGGAGATAAGAGGCCTGCACCTTGAAGAAGTGGAATAAATGTGGCATGGCCTTCTTTTTCTCTACTTCTGAGTGGCTCTCGCTGGGCTGTGTCTGTGAGGCAGGGGAAGGCTCTTGGCTATGTGTGTGCTTGACATCCCAGCAGGCGGTGGGTGGGGATCTGTGAGGACAAGGACTGGGAAATGGAGGCGGGACTGGTCACTTCCTGATCCCTGCCTTTCCCCTAAATGGGCCCTAATTTCAGGGAAAAGTCCGAGGAAGATGGCATCCTGCTGGGAGGACTTGCCTGCCCATTCCTTCTCCTGCCCCCAGTCATTTGGGGGGGACTTATAGGGGGCCTGGGACTTGGGGAGAAAGGAGATCTCTCTCCCCCACCAACTCAAATCCACCATCTAAGTGCCTACTCCTCCCCCACCCCATTCCCCACCACTGTTCAAAACCTAGGCTGTGTCCTAAATATCGAGCTTAAGCACTACTGTGGACCATTTTGAGTATTCCCTCATTTTGCCTAGAAGCTAGAATGGTGCCTGGGCACTCAGACTTGTACAAACGCAGTCTTTCCCCGCACTACATCCAGCCTTCCCTTAAGCAGAACTCGGCTACCCACCTAGCCTAGGGGGTGGGGGAGAACGCAGTCAAGTAGCCCCATGAGGCGAGGGAGATGCGTGGGAGGCTCCATTTGTGCATGAAGCATGAAGACAACACTATGCTTGACTCTAGATCACCCCAGAAATCTTTCCTGCCCATCTTCACGAAACCTCCATGTCCTCAGAGGCTACCCTGCCTAATGACCCAGCAGGGCAGAAGTGAGGAGACCTGGGTCCTGCATTCTGATACCGTCCATGCTGCTTCTCTATGGAAAAGACCAGCACCCTCTAAAGACCCAGGGGAGGGGCACCGAGGGGCTGCTTGCATCAGGCCTAAGTGGCTTCACATATGCCATTTGGGGGGGGGGTGGCGTCCATGGGGTCATCTATACCCAATGGGCTCAGAGTCTGGGGCCCTTGGAACCAGCTGCTGCCTCTCCACGGCCCTGGGCCCTGGGCACGCCTGGTCTGCTCTGCCTGCGTGAAGTTCAGGCTGACACTTCTGGCTCATCAATGGCCTTGTAGGGAAGTCCCAGCATGGATTTTCCCTGGCAGCTGTGGCTGCCTCTGGATCACATATGCTTGGTGGAGCTCAGCAGAAGAGCCAGGGGATCCCTGAAAGCCAAGTGTGGATTTTTGAGACATGATATGATCCAGGCTCTGTGATCTCATGAGCAGAGCCCAGCAGAGGACATGCCCAAAGGCTCCAGTCTGTTCCTGTGCTGGGACGTGGACGCCTCCCCCAATTTAAACTCCTGCAGAGCTTCTGATTCTGTGCGAGGAACTGGACCAAGGCCCAGATTCAGAACGGTGTAAGATCCTCAGGTGTCTGAAGACCTCTTAAACTCCCCTTTCTGTCCTCTGTAGTGATTCCTAACACGACACTTAAAATGAGCCCACTCGGTCCCTCAGGCATGAACCGAACACCCCGGACTGTGCCAGGCCCGGTTATGGGTACCAAAACCACACAGGTGACTACGATGCCTCACCTGCTCCCGGAGGAGTTCACCTTGATGGGGGAGGCATCTCAGTGTCATGAGGAGAGTAGGAACACACAGCTCAAGTGTGGCATTACGTCACCGTCATCACAGGGGACCGCGGTTAGGTCAGGGAAGGACTCAGGCGGCAGTGGACTCCGGTGAGGTCTTGGCAGGTGAGTGGAGTTACCTAGCAAAGAAGGCATGACAGGCGTCCCCGGCAGTGGGAACAGCACAGCCACGGCATGGAAAGAACTGTAAGAATGTGTGTCACTGTGGAGTAAGCTGAAGTGGGAAGTCAGTGTTGAGGAAAGAGGGCAGCCAGACCCAAAAGGTCCTGTAGGCCACACTAGGGAATTTGAGCTTTACCTCAGGGAAGCATAGAAACAGGTTTAAAGCCAAGGCCAACTGGTATTTTAAAGATATGACTCTTTGGTGTCGCTGTGGAGGGTGTATTGAAACACCGTGCCTCGGTCTCATTTGTAAAGTGGTGATGACATCTTTCAAAGTTACAGGTAGGAATAGATCAGATATGTCTACAAAGTGCCTGAAACACAATTCTCTGCACACCCCCTGCCCCTCCCTTGGCTGTGAAGATCTTGTGCAGGGTAGATCAAGAAACAGATGCTCTTGGGGCACCTGGGCGGCTTAGTCAGCGAAGCATCTGACTCGTGATCTCTGCTCAGGTCATGATCTGATGGTTCGTGAGTTCAAGCCCCACATCAGGGTCTGTCCCGATGGCGTGGAGCCTGCTTGGGATTCTGTCTTTCCTTCTCTCTGCCCCTTCCCCGCTTGTGT